CGCCTCCCTTTCAAACATAAATAGGTAGTCTGGGATCCCCAGACAGTTGGGAAAGCCTCTGATACAATAACCAGTAACAAAAAAAATAATAATAATAAAAGAAAGAAAAAGAATACAAAAAAGCAAGGGAAATGTATAAAGCAAAAGAGAATTTTAAAAAATTGTTTGTTGATGCTTCAAAAACGTGTTAGAAACATTAAAGTCACAAAACCAAAACAGAATGTTATTTTTTAAGGGAGTAGACGGGAAATAAGAAAAAGCCACTGAAGAGAAGAAAGATTATAACAGTGAGTTAAAAATTCTGTAGCATGTTTAGAAGATGAAGTATGAACTTATCCTAGAAAATAGAACAAAAAGATGAAGAGAAAGTAATATTTTTTAAAGGAAGGGATAAGAAATTTAGAGCATCAAACATGTTCAACAGCAAACCAATAAGGATTTCAGAAAGAGAAGAGAAACAAGAAAGATGGAAAACAAACAGGAGGTCATTTCCAAAAAATAATACAAGAAATTTCACAGAACTAAGGAATTTGAGATTTGGGATTTAGAGAGCTACTGAGAACCTGATACCAAAGCACCTCATGTAGAATCTCAGAACCCCGGGTTTGATGATAGGACCCCAGTGACTTCCAGAGAAGGGGAACAGTAAGTACTGTAATCTTTTCCAGCTGCATCTAATTATACATAGATAAAATCTGTTATTAAAGTATATTTAAAGATGAATTTGTGCCAATGTAATTTCAACAGTAGATAGTCTTTTCCATCTAAAAGTTAAACCCCAAACAAACAAGCAAAAATATAAGTCAAAACTACAAATTACATACATAATATCTAGTATCCACATCTGGGGATGTTTTTGGCAGCTTTGATCTGAGAGTATACTGCCTGTAATTAGAGCTTTACTGATGTCCATCCTATGTCGTCATGAGCATACAGAATGACACGTGCAGCAGTGCATTGAAATCTTCTCACAATGGAGAATTTTCCCTTCTATTTTAGGGAGAAAAGTAGAAAAACATATCTATTAACCTGAGTGTGGCTATTTTTCTATACTATGTACAATGAATCAAAAATCAGAAAGTCATCATGCTTCTAAAGAACCCAACTGGAAGCCCCAGGAAATGGAGCAATAATTATTTGGAGTGGTAATTATTTCAAGTCTAGCATTGTACAATAGCTTAACTATCAAATCAAGGCAAAAAGAAACGAAAGAGATTTTCAGACATGCAGAGACTAAAAAAAATTACTTCCCATGCACTAGTTTTTAGGAAGCTATAGAAATGTGGTCCTGTGGCCCACTAGCACAAAAGAGTTAACAAGGAATGATTTCCACATCAGAGGGCAGTGAAGGGAATCTGTAGTATGCTGGTGGAGAGGAGTCCCTTTACCATAGTAAAGTAGATCCAAAAAGCAACTAGTCCCGATGGAGCAGGAGGGAATGCTCCAAAATGGACAACTCCATGAGGGAAAGTGAAAAAGAACAATTACCTGAAATGTTTGTCTACTTGTGAGGAATTTTTCAATTTCACTGAAGCATGTACTGAAGACTTAATGATAGAGACTTAGAAAACTAAGGCAACAAAAGAATTAGGCAATAAAAATTTCCTGGAAAAAAAAATGATCAAAAGGCCAACTAAAAAACTGAAAGCAGTCACAGTACACTAAGTGACTCAGTTGTGAACAATATAATCATAATGGCAAACTTTAAATATTGATTTAACCAAGGATGTTGATAAATGAGTGTCAGGAAATGGGGGGAGGGGCACAAAATATACGTATGGTGGAAAGTGTAAGAAAGCTGAATTCTCATGTAACATATTAGGAAGTCAGTAAATAATGTCTAAACTTAAAATTTAGAAATCTGAAAAAAGTATAATTTTGTAAAATAGCTATAAACACATAAACAGCTATAAATAGCTGATATCAGTTGAAAGCTGTTGCCTGTGGGGAACACAACTGAAAAGTGGAGAAAGGTAGACCAGAAGGGCTGCTCTTTTCTTAAAGCTCTGTAATACCACGTGGCTTGTTAAATACCACATTTATTAATTAGGTAAAATTAAACTTCAACTGAAAAAATGTGGGAAGACAATTCAAACTTCTTAAAGTATGTTGGTAGCATTAAAATAATAATTGAGAACTTCTCTAGGTCAAGGCCACCTAGATCTAACAAACCACAGAAACAATATGAAAGGTTAAAATTACGTTTTAGAAACTGAGTTCTAAGAGTGAATAATGCTTTTTATATATTTAAATTGTCTGATTAAAATGAATTATTAATGAATAACAAATACTGCAACATTTTTTTTTAGGAGTCAGGACTATCTAAGTGGATGGGAAATAAATTATCTCCTCTAGGTTCATTACCAGTCTGGCTAATAATTCTGATATCTTCTTTGCTCGTCACGTCTTTAACAGAGATAGCCAGCAATCCAGCTACCATTACCCTCATTCTTCCAATACTGGCTCCATTGGTGAGTATCTCGTTTATCCCATTTATACTCTTCACTTAAAGAGCAGTGTTCTACTTCCCTTGTTCTCATTGTGGTGTGGAATCACTCTGGGCCTGAATGGTCCCCCTGTCAGTAACTTACAGAGTGGTCCTTATTTGCATTCATGCTTTCTTAGGAGATCTCAACTCAAGAGAACTCTTTTGGTCCATGTTCAAGCAGCATGATCTTAAGTGAACCCTTTACCTTCTTTCTGCCCAGAATTTTCATTTGCAGATAAACAGGAGGGTCAGCTCAGATCCTTTCCAACTCTAAGACTTTGGGCTTCCATGTTATTTCCTAGCAACTTTAGTGTTTAGATCTCTGACACTGACACTCCAGAAGATTAGTCTTGAGTTTTTGAGAAGTGCTTCATATAAGTGATTTGCAAGGGAATAAAAAGCTAGGTTTACACTTCAGGCTTCAAGCTTACGTATCTTAGACACAGTTCTCTACAGCCCAGGGAAGAATTTAAAAAAACAAGTAAGAAGCACATTTGCGAAGAGAGAGAGGGAAAGACTGTCTTCTCTTCTTGTCTGCAACTAGCTAGCAATTACAAGAAATAGTTTTGGGTAAAACGTTCTTCTTACTGGGCCGGATGAGCTTGGTGATATTTTGATATTTATTTCTCAACATGGAGCTGTTAAAAATTACGTGATGAATTAAGAATAGTGATAACTCTTCTGTAATAATCTCTAAGCAAATTTTAAATTATATATGTCACCAGGGCAGTAAAGTTAATGGAATGATGAGAAGCTTTGGAGCCAAAGGGACCTGAGACCCTCCCTAAGCTCTGTTGCTTGCCACCTATGTGTCCGGATCAGTTAACTTAGCCTTTGTGGGACTCAGTTCCTTTATCTGTTATTTGGGGCTACAGTTACCATCTTATAAGGTCATTGTGAAGATTAAGTTATATGTATAAATATATGAAGATCTATTATGTTATACGTTACCTAAGTTAAATTTTACATGTATCACATATATAAATATTTATATATTATATATGTATAAATACTTAACACAGCACTTAACTCTAGATAAATGACAAGTAGTTATTTTTATTTTGCTTCTGGAATAGATGATACCTTATTTTCTGTATGAACTATAATTCTTAAATGGGCACCAATAACCATGTAAACAGCAATGAGAGAAAGATGCATTTTCTAAAACATATTCTCCCAGTTATAACCGCATTATGTATGTAATTTTATGTCTTTATATTTCAACTTGCTTCTGGGATAGTTTATCATAATTATTTTGCTCATTTGGATGCTTATCTCAAAACCTTATTTAAACTCCTTTTTATCTTTTCCACCAGGCTGAAGCCATTCATGTCAACCCTCTTTATATTTTGTTACCTTCTACTCTGTCCACTTCATTTGCATTCCTCCTCCCAGTAGCAAATCCACCCAATGCTATTGTTTTTTCATACGGCCACCTAAAAGTCATCGACATGGTGAGTAAGCTGAAAGAGTACCATCGGGTCCAACATACATGATTCTGTGATGTCTTAGCTTGTCTGTCATTTCACACACTAATCAACTGCTAGGGAATACGTAGCTTGAGTTCTGCTTCTGAAGGTAAGTGCATGACTGGCCATAGAATTGTTTTCAAGAGTGATAACCAGCAGCAAACATGCCATTAATATGGACAATCTCAAATACAGAGATACTGAATGCATCAGTAATATGCTGGAAGAGGAAGAGAGCATTGAATATACTCAACACAACGGCTTAAACTTACATGTTGAGATCAGGATCCAGCCTGACTGGACGAATGGAGGAAATAGGGTTAATGACATTCAACCATCAAGCTGTGGTTTGCTGTCACGAATATTCACACAAACCAACATTTGCTCAGAATAAAACATTGGGTTCAGTGCCTGACTGATGAAAAGTCATCTTTCTTGTTCCGATTCTAATAGTGGCACCTGAAATGAAATGATATTAGCATAAGTAATAATAGAAAATCTATGTGACAAAACGTGCACATTTTTGCCAAATACAAAAGTAGTGGTAGTCAAGAACTAACTGGGGAACATTCTAGCCTTCTCTTAATTTTGATCACCAACTTCTGAACCAAACCAAGTTAAGTATATAATAAAGTAATTTCAACAAGTTAGCTGTGTAACATGAAGTTTCAAGTTAAGTCCCAGGTTCCTTCCTTCCACACAGATTGCTGTCCCTAAACCCCTGTAATGTAAAAATTCTGTGAATGCTTCTATGCAGAAGCCATATAATCTCCTTTGGGTAAAGGAAATGTACATAATATACAATGAAAGTAATGTGCTAGCTTTGTGAGTTAAAAAAATAAAAACAGGATTCTGCAATAAATGAGTAGCTTGTATGGACAGAAAAGGGGGCCTCTATAACATTCACTGCTAGGTATCCCCATTTTGCCTTGCGGCTCCACGTTTTGATGCAGAAAATGCAGAGATAATCAAACTTCCTCTGTAAAGAGCCAGGTAGTAAATACTTGACACTTTATGGGGCCATACAGTCTCTGTCACATGTATCACGAAGGTGGCCAAAAACAGTATGTAAACAAATGGACATGATTGTGGTCCCGCAAAACTTTATCTATGAGAACAGTCTATGGGCAGTTTGCCAACCTCTGTTTTAATAGCTAGAAAGCAACTTTGAGATTGTTAATGGACATGAGAATAATGATGTCAGAGCTAGAAAAATGGGACCTCTAAGAAAGATGGCTAAGAGAGGCATTAAATTTAAGTGAGAGATGTACTCGCTAAGGCTAAACTAAAGATGACGTCGATTGAACATGAAGGGACCAGTCATCATATAATGACCTTAACCTCATTCACAGAAGTACAAAACTACAAAACTCAAATCCTGATTTGACATGAAATGGTAGACTTCTAAAGGGATTCTCTAATCAGAATGACTTCAGTATATTCCTAAGAGAAAGCTCTCTGAGTCTCTTTAGCTAAATGGCATTTAGTTGGCAACAGATTCTCTTTCAACATAAATGGAAGGACTCCTTGTCTTATGAAAACAATCATTGATACTAATCATTTAGGATGCATGCAAATCTGCCATATGCCTCTGCAACAGTATTCCAATTCTCCTATAGGTTTTTTCTGTTTGTTTTTTGTGGAAGAAGGCTGAAATTGATGTTTTGTGTATTCAAGGTTAAAGCTGGACTTGGCGTTAATATTGTGGGTCTTGCTGTGGTGATGCTTGGCATGTTTATCTGGATTGCACCCATGTTTGACCTCCACACTTACCCTTCTTGGGCTCCTACAATTTCCAATGAGACCATGCCCTAACAACATGAATGCTCTGACTATCCTGTGGTGAGTTTGGGGAACCATTAAGAATTCACTGCAAAACCTGGCTATAGAAAACTGATGACACACTTAAATCAGCCCTGGTATAGCTGCTACAGTTCCAGTGAACACCCAAAATCTGCTGTCACAACTTAAGAGTCTGCATTCCTTTGAGATGCAACCAAGATCATCTATGTGCCTTCATCAAGAAGCCCACAGTTGAGATTTTGCTCCTGAACCATATGCAACCTGCTTCATCATAAGAATAATTCATGACTTAACCTTCTTGAAAGAGATTATGTCATTTGCTTCATCTTACAGTTTGGGTTCAATGTAACATTTCAAATGTCAATTCATTATTTCAGAAACTTTCCATGAAGCTGCAAATAGAAAATAAAACAAGTTAATTAGGTATTTGTATAAATCATTTTTGTAGTCTTTGTCCAAGAGAATTTTCTGAAAAATCAAAGCTGGTGGTGCAAAAGAAAAGTTTAATCTAAATAAAATGTGCATTCCCTCACTTAAAAAAATTCCAGTCAGATTACTCTTGATATATACATAGAGCATAAAAATTGAAATTAAGTAGTAGTTATAAAATAATAGCTGAATCCACTAAACAACAGAAAACAGATAAGGATTAATTTCTGTTTGATTCAATGGCTAAAGTAATATAATTCACACTTTTATGATCTCAGTGCACTGAGAAATGCGTTTTGTAGAGCTATGGATAAGGCTTCCTATGATTTGCACAATTAGCAAAGTATAGTTAGAAAAGAAAGGTAAACAGTATAAATCTATTAACACATTTGTATATTTGTACAATAGTTGTACTTACGTATTTATTTTATTTCAGAAATACATAATGTCATACATGAAGACAAGAGATTTAGAAATTTAAATGAATTATCACTGTTCATACAGCCATTAAAATGTCACATAACTTCATGACATCAACATTGAAATGAAATACCAGAGAAAGTAAAGAATAAATAATTGAAACTGTTGATATACTTACAAAAGAGATAAATAAATTATTGATGGGCAGACAAAAAGAAAAGAGAACTAAACATTCAAATAAAAATGGGAAAAGAATAGTCTCCTAGTATTCAGGACGTGAATGAGTAAGGTCTATTGACATTCCAAAATTAGACTAAAGGGAAAAAATTGACAATCCAAGACAAAAAATGTGTACAGTTAGGAAAATATGCTAACAATAAAATAGAAGAAAAATGAAAAAAACACCTTTGCTATTTTTAATTTTCAAAGAAGTCATCAGAGACCTGTATAGTTTTTGCAAATGACATTATAAAATTATTTTTGAAAATAAAATATGGTAAAGAGGATTTTTTTAAGTAATACATTTCTTTAAAAAATTATATATGGTACATTGCCCATGTTCATTATTTGTCAATTTATTAATGCAAAATTAATCATTTTTTCAAGAAAAAAAAATGTGTCCATTTAAACCTGACAATATAATATTGCTGCTTTGTGTAGATCATCTATGCTCACCCTATGCACTTGTTCCCTTCTGATTCATATATTACACATTTGTTTATGATCCATAGTATTTATTACTTTTCTGCTTTTTTCTAGTCATTCAATTTATCTCTGCTGAATTATATTATAGGATAAATATATTTTCATTATGAAAAAGTGAAATGACTTTTCAAATTATAATGAGTAAATTTTGCTCTCAAGAAAATAATAGAAACATTTCAGCTTGAATCATGTTAATAAATTGCTTCCAACAGCTGCCAGCTGAGTACAGGAAAATGATCCTTAGTCAAAATTTGTTTAAGTGAGCCATATGGTTCTCTACATCTTTATGTTTGGTTGATGTATCAAAAATGACTCAACTCATCCATTTCACATTTGTCCCATACACATCAGAGTTCTCAAGCTCTTTCAGTCTGGAAGTTGCAGACTGTCTTCGAGAGTTTCCAAAAGGCATCCGAAGCAGATGATCTAACAAATCTTTGTCCTCCCACTCTAGGGCAGATAGCGTTTTTGTTTTTGTCTTGAGCCTTACTCAGAGATTAACTAGAAATCTTTGTCACTTTAAATCCCTGCATCTTACTTAGGATCAGGTCTTGTGTGGATAGTAAGGAGCAATTTCACTAAGTGACTATTTACTGTCTGTTTCTGCGAGTGCTTGGAAGGCTCCCCAGCACACAGGTATCCTTCACTCACCACAACTGCCACTGTGCATCTCAGCACCTCTAGAATTCAGATTTCTTTCTTTTCAAATGTGTGCACTGTTTTCACCCTACTTGGTCTCCAAGGCTTTGTTCTCTCTTTCTCATCCTGGGAGGTGGGGAGGTACACTTTTAGCCAATATTACTAACTAAACTTATTAGCAAAAATTGATAAAACAATATCATGACACATTAATTGTCTGGACATTTGTACTACGTATTATTAGATGTCAAAGATTAATATTATTTTATTGTATCTTTGCTTTGGCTAAATATTTGATAAAAGTCTTTGTCAAGGCACTTTTGTTCCGGAGTTGGTTCAGTTAATGCATGACTATTATCTTGTGTGTGGATTTTTCCCAATTAAATGTTTCTATTTTTAGGAGGGGGAGGTTGTACTAGCAATGAAAGGGTAAACCCAAACAGTTTTACTACTGTAACGCAATATAAAAATGAAAATGGTTTAAATTGTTGCCCCAGCTCAGCATCAACCATGTTATTCCCAAATGAAGTATTTTAGTGAAAGTAGAAATTTACTAGGTAAGTTTTGGGAATGCAAATATCAAAAACAGAGGTCCCCAGTGCGAAGCAAGATCAGACTAGTCCAGGAGTACAATAAAAATAGCACATAAAGAAAGTAGAAATTAAAAGGTTTTTCCAAATATAGGGAGTTTTAATTCCTCCAGGAAGAAAAAGGCATGGGGTTTTAAAAAAGCAAAGTGCTTTTCTTAATGAAGTATGGTGGTATAGATATTGGGAGCAGGAAGAGGAAGATCTTTAAGCCAAATAATAAAACATATTGTATATCATACATTACTGTGGCTGCAAAAAAATAATGGAGGCCCTCAAAAGAGGAATATGGTGAAGGACCAGCAAGAATCTAGAGACTTAGGCAAGGACTGAAGGTGGCAACTGCTAATCCCTAGAGATATTGAAATTTTCTTTTAATAAGTACACTGGTTACAAGGGACGGGAGACAAAGCTAGGAGCCAAGCAAGTCAGGGCTTGAATGGAAAATTCCATAGAGTTAGGATCTCAAAAGGCTATATTCTCAATGAAAATGAGAGAGAAAAAAAAACCACCCTATTGAGGGAAACGTCAAGGGAAATTTAATGTTTTGGCCTATGCACTTGGTGGAGAATGTAAAATCTTTGAAAATTCATAACCATGCAGGTTAGGAGGCTTAAGTCGCAATATCAGTGTGTGTGTGCAGGGGACATTAATCTGAAGCTTTATTTTAAAACAATCCTAGGTTGGTAGATTAGCCAAGTACCTGGCAAAAGAAAGAACACCTTCTTCAACCTGGAGCTCAATGAATTTCTAAGATTTTAATCAAAACTCATAAGTTCTGCCAAGACGTAAATCATGTTGTGCAAGAGACAACATAAACAAAAGAAATAGAACCCCATATACAAAGACAAGAGATACTCTAATTATCAAGTAAAGAATATAAAATGAAGAAGCATAATGTTTGAAAATATGGAAGAGGATAATGGAAGTATAATAAGTATGGTTGGCAGAGTTCTAGAAATGTCGCCCCAGATTTCTGTCTCCTGGTCATGTAATCAAACACTAATCTAGGTACTACTATACTACTATGAAGGATTTTTCAGATGTAGTCAGGATTATTAATCAGATGATGTTAAAGTAGGGAGATTATCCTGGACTATCCAGGTAGGCCTGATGTGATCACATGAGCTCTTTAAAGCAGAAGAGGAAGGCAGAAGAGTCTGGTGGGTGTGATGGGACAGAATGGGAAATCAGAGAGATTTGAAACATGAGAACTACACCCATTGTTGCTGGCTTTGATGATTAAAAAAATCACAAGCCCAGGAATGCAAGTAGCCTTTAGAAACTGAGAATGACCCCTGGCTGAAACCCAGCAAAGAAATAGAGGCCTCAGTCCTACAGTTGCATGGAGTTGAATTCTACCAACAATATAATAAGCCTCGAAGTAGATTCTCCTTAAGAGCCTCCACTAAGGAACACAGCCCTGCAGACACCTTGATTTTAGCCCAATGAGGCTTGTTTTGGACAAGTCTATTAATCTACAGAGCTAATGAGTATTGTTTTAAGCCACTACATTTGTGGTAGTTTGTTATAGCAACAATAGAAAACAAATTCAATAAGGAACAACAGACTGTGAAAAGTGACCAGACATTTATGAAAAGATGTCAGATAGACATTTTAGATAGAAGAAGTATAATGATTCAAATTAAAAACTTAATGAATAGGTAAAATAGTACACTGTACAAACCAGAAGAGAAAGTGTATGAAGTTGAAGACATGGTCTAAAAAATGATTTAGAATGCAACCCAGAGATGGACAAACAAATGACTCTGAAAGGGAAGTTAAGAAAAATGCAAGCTAGAATGATAAATGAAACATACGTTCAGTCAGAATTCCAAGAGTAGAAAATAAAAAGAATGAGGGAGACACAATCATTGAAGACACAATGGGTGAAAATTTTGCAATACTAATGAAAGAAGCTAATCAAGATTTGCAGGAAGCATGATGAAGCCAAAGCAAGATTTTAAAAAAGGAAATCTACCTTTACCTATATAATAGTGAAATAGTGGAACACTCAAAAGAAAGAAAAGAAACAGAAGACAGACTACATATAAGTGATGACAATTAGACCACGACCACCCTCTCAAGAACGGTTTGAAACAGTTAAGCGTCTCCAAGTGCTAAAATAAAGAGCTATCATTGTATGCCTAGAAAATCTGTTTCAAGAATGAAGGAAAACTAAGGAATTTTCAAACCAACAAAACTAAGAGAGCTTACCACTAACCGAAGCTCATGAAGGTACTCCTAATGCTTGCGTCAAAGGAAAAAGAAAAATAATTCAAGACAGACGTGTGACACAATAAGGAACGGCGAGTAACCAAATTGCTAAACATACGGCTTAAAAAAATACAACTCGAATGAAAATACTGAAAAAGCATAAGATACAAGTTCAGAGAAGACAGAGTATTCTAATTTAGCTCTTAAGCATCCATTTTCTTCACGGCACAACACTTAATCTAACTAAATCAAAGTCAATTTAGTCATTTGTGTTTTTACTGATTTCAGAGTTTAACTTAGTCAACTTAGGCTTTTGTTTTTTAGATTCCCTCTCTTACTCCTTTCTTCTTGCAGTTTTTATCTAAGTTCTGTGAATCTTACATATGAGACTCGCACCAGATGGGTGAGATGCATCTGGTCTTTGTGATTAGCAATTGTCTATGTTGGCTTCCACTGAGATGTACAATCCTCTGAAATGTATGGTTCCTGTTGGTTTTATCATCCACTTCTGATTCCAGAATCTGTTCCTGCTCTCTGGCTCATGCCCCTCACGTCATGCCTGAAATCAACACCTCTTCATCACAGCCACAAGTCCCACTGACCCACCCCTTTAAGGGCTTAGGGAACTTTTGATACCCTCTGTACCTCTCTTGGATCCTAGGAGTCTTGTCATTAACCCACTCTACTGCAGGTCTTCCTGTTAAGTGCAAGAGAGAGGGAGCCTGAAGCTCACATCTTTCTTGAGAAGAGTCGGTATATTAATTAATGCATGGCAAAAAATAGCTGATGTAGCCTGTGGCCACAAAACAGCATATCCGCTGAGCTCAAGTTGAGACCAAAACCATTGTGTCTAGAACAGTGCTTAGAAGCATCAGATTTGGAGACTGACTTCCTCTGCTCACCACGCCATCCTAAGACATGTTACCTTACTCTACGTGCTGCAGTGTCCTCATCCAAAAATGGACCACTGATGGCACAAGAATATCTTCACAGGGTTGATACACATAAAACAGAGATTTCCAGAGAATGATTTAATTTTTACCCAATTACTTAATTCTTGGTTGAGAGAGAATACTGGAGGTAAAAGAGTGAACAAAGTGTACATTTAAAAAAAATGCATATCCATTTTACAGAATTCAGCACACAAAGAAAACACAGGAAATTTAGACAGTGTATACAATACTAAAAATCAAGTTCAATAGCTTATCGGAAGAATGTGACATGTTGGTAATGA